TTTGTGCACAGCCAGCCTTGTACTCTTCTAGGTTCAAAAAACTGTCGTCCATAAGATGCATTGCACAAATTCGAACATCTGGGTCGTACTGTTCTGTTGTAAATAAATCTTAACCAATGATTCCTAAATGCATCTACTTCCAGAAGGCCAAAGAAAGTGCTTTTGCTTTCGCACTGAAACACAGCGTCTCCCTGTCATGCTGCTTCAACACTAACTGCTGTTCCTGAAACTACGCCTTCTTTCTTTGCGTGAACATTTGGGCGCATTATGCTAATATTTCCACATAGTGATGTAGACATGTGGGGGCGTGTTAGAACGAGCCGTTTTAGGAGGGCGTGGTTGACTCTTAACTTTTATAAAGAATATCTCTTTGGATTTGAGACTTTAGTCTTTGCAACTTTACAGATCTTCTTTATGCACCAAGAGCTTGTAACACTCCAAAGAGAAAGGAAATATTGAAATCGCATCATATGACCCCTTTAAAACCACGCCGCCCGAACGTTAGGCTACTTTAATTTCATGTGTTTTTTCCCAACACATAACATAATGAAGATCAGTATTAAGTTATTACATTTCTTTTGCTTATTATCTTTCATATTACTACATAGGTAATTAGGTAAATTTTACATTTATATTTGTGTAACTGTAGCATATGTTTAAATTAAAAAAAAGAGTAAAATGTAGCCTACTGATAATTTTCTGCCATTAACTTTCCCTTACGAAATACGGAAATTAACCATGATTTTACTAAAGTAAAAGTGTAGCAACCATGGTTTTTGGCAGATTGATTGACATTTGTTTAACCACAGTTTTACTACAAAATTGGTTAAATTATGGTTAGTGTATAATTTTTAGTGTAGTAAGTTAAGTGTATTCCATTAACCCTAAAACATAATGCAATGCAGTGCCATTACATCATGCATCCCTGCCTTAAAAACCTAGCCATTAAATGAAATTGCAATATGAAAGTTAAATAACGTTACCTTGGCCGTTCCCTGGTAATTGCTAGAGAAAAACACACACACACATATGCAATTATTCAAAGTAGCTAACATACAAGATAATACCAACAAGATAATAAGCAAAAGAAATGTAATAACTTAATACTGATTTTCATTAAAAAAAAAATGTGAAGTGACGTGTGGCCAAGTATGGTGACCCATACTCGGAATTAGTGCTCTGCAGTGATATGCAATTATTCAAAGTAGCTAACACTGTTTACATGAAGTAATATGAAAGATAATAAGCAAAAGAAATGTAATAACTTAATACTGATTTTCATTAAAAAAAAAATGTGAAGTGACGTGTGGCCAAGTATGGTGACCCATACTCGGAATTAGTGCTCTGCAGTGATGATACCCATCCAAAGTGCACACACACAGCAGTGAACACACACCCGGAGCAGTGGGCAGCCATTTATGCTGCGGCGCCCGGGGAGCAGTTGGGGTTCGGTGCCTTGCTCAAGGGCACCTCAGTCGTGGTATTGCAGGTGGGAGAGAGTGCTGTACATTCACTCCCCCCACCTACAATCCCTGCCGGTACGAGACTCGAACCCACAACCTTTGGGTTATGAGTCCGACTCTCTAACCATTAGGCCACGACTTCCCCATTATGTTATGGCCACGACTTCCATTATGTTATGTGCAGGGAAAAACATGAAATTAAAGTAGCCTAATGTTCCCGTGGCCGGTTTTAATTGATCAGTGCTGCGCTGTCCATTCAGTGGCGCTAGCAAACATGGCCTCCCTGTGCTGTCGAGTCGTCCATTGAGCCACGCCTTTGACAGGTCAGCGCGGCGCAAACTCTTCAATACCGCGCTGTTTCGTCCCACTTTTGGTGTGTTTGGCTTTCCATATTTACGTGCCTGCGCCGCTGTGAGAACAGCCGGTCAACAGGAAGCCCAAGCGAAGCGAAAGATCTTTTATTTTTTAGCGACAAATTAAGTTGCAACGGTACATACTGTTATTGCTGTCAATCATGTAAACAAAATTTGCCTGTTGTAATGATTGATTTGTCAAAAACGTCCTGATCTAATGTGCGGCCCCGTGTTAATGCTGATGATGGGACAGTCTTCCGCAAACATAAAAATATGAGAAAGCAATCAGAGCATAAAATTGTCAGTGTAATTCACTTAAATGTAGACCTAATATCTTGTTTAGTATAGTGAGAATGAATGTGTGAACCACACCAGGCACAAGGGCAGTTGCAACAAAATTGTGAAAAATATTATTTATTAATTTGCTTGCTTGCTTTCTAGACAAATAAATTAATCTCATGAGAAAAAAATCCAATGTTTATTCTGGTGAGTATTTGTACAGAACGGCAACAATTTACCCCAATCTACTCTAAATCTACAGCTGTGAGTGGTGGAATGATACCTCTGTAATACAAAGATTCCTCTCTGTTTTGGTCGTTTTAGTCTAGTGTAAACTCATGTTGCATCACTAATATAATCTCATCAAATAAGTTTGTTCATTTTTATTTCTCTTGGTTATTGCTTCAAAAATAACTACAATAATGTTGTAAAAGGCACATTTATTTTTTGGTTACACTTTAGGACTGCAGATCGGAAAAAAATAATTCTTGATAATCTTAAAAATGAGAGAAATCACTGATATAATTTAGGCTACTTTCTTCGACTGCAGAAAAAACGAAACCATTTCATTTGCAGTGTTAACTTATGAATTAAATGAAAACCCAAGAAATAAATCACAACAAGAACAATAGTTTTTCTTGTAATCAAGAAAAAAATGACAATTTCCAAATGAATGCTGAATGATATTTGACAGTGAACGCATCTCCACTGCATAGCCGCATACAATCGCAAATATTAAACATGTTTCAGGCTATAATGCATGGCGTGTGTTTCACTAGCTCCGTTCCCATGGACACCTTTTGATTGATCTAATTCTGGATATTTCCAGCCTAAAACGTATAATTAATCAGCCGATTAATCCGTATCTAAAGCCGTGTCTACACCAAGAGAACATCATTATAATCAGCTGATGCGGTGTCCACACGGGAAGTGGCGCGAGGCGACAAATCTTCTACAGTAACTGATGCCTCCTTCGATCCCTAATCTTGGAAACATGCGTTGTATGTGTTGAAAGTGAAACCTAAAAAACATCGCACATAAGAAAGCAGCTTTCGGGAGCTTCAGCAAATGCACTCGATCACAGATTGCACGCTTCCCAGCCTAAACAACCCCCACGTGAAATTGAAATAATAACCTATAACCTAAGATTTTGGCCATATTGCCCGCCCATCTAAATCATTCATCCCACACCATCAACAGGCGCGTCATGTAGGCTACACCTCTTGTTCTTCGTTTGGGCACCACAAGCTGTCACTGTAGCCTCAAAGCTTACCCCTCGCCTACTCTAGCTCGATTGCTATTCCGGAGGTAAAACACGCCCTCCTCATTACCCTACGGACAAAGAAATGTGAAAATAAATAAATGTATAAATAAATAAATGTGGAAATAAATACATAAATGTGAAAATAAATAAATGTGGGAAAAAAATTAAAAAATACATAAATAAGGAAATAAAATTATAAATAATTATTTATTTTTGCTTTTTTACTTTCCTTGTATATTTATTTATATATTTATTTATATGAGCTTTTTTACATTTCTTTATTTTTTTCTAATTATGGCAGGTTTGGCATTCCATAAAAATGTAGTCTAAGTGGTTGTAGAATTTATATTAGATAATCTGTTAAGGGAATAGATGTTTCCCTATAGATTTTTACTGAAACTGTGGCATGTTGTAGCTATTGGTTCTAAATGTGCAGGCGGTTGTTTCTTTATAACAAATGCTATATTGATTAGCCTAATTTAAAAAAGTCATTATTGGCCTGGTAATGATAGGCTAGTCTTATTATAACAAATGCCACAGTTAAGAACTATGGTATGGTATGGAAATTCCAAAAGATGGCATAGATTAAATCATTAAGAGTCTGATAAACTGTTAAGTAAGAAATAAACAATATCAGTATAAGAAACTGTTACGTTAGCTTGACTTCCCATGGCATTCTGTCAAACTATAGCCTATAAGTGCCTAAATCATATACAATACATTACATAGATATATCCTATGTAAACAAGTAACTGTTAATGATGTTACTTTATTGCATCAACTTTGCATAGATTATAGCACAAAAGATCATTTCACAAAAATAAATACATAAGCAAACAAACAAATAAATAAACCTTATGATGAGCATGAGTCTATAAAACAGTTCACACTTCAACCCCCTCAATGTTCAAAACAAAACTACACCCACCCTTGAAATTTAAAAATTCTCTTTTACTGATATTATTATACAAGTAAAATTTTTCTAAAATCTATTTGATTTGTTTTTGATAGTTGTTAATAAGTCTCTTCGAATTAGGAAGACACTTTTGCTTTCATATGGAGATATTTTTTTTAAAGTCGGCATGAACTGGCAATTGCAAGCAAATTATTTACCCAATAGGGGTGTGGAATAGATTGTATGGATCATTGTCATTTAATAATCACATGATCTCATGTGAGCAACAGGCTGCTGGAGGGATTATCGTCCACAACATCAGAGAAGAGATGTAGCTGTGAGGCGGAGGTAAAGTTCATATTTTTGATTACAGAAAACAAGAGGACATAAATAAAATAAAAAAGAGGATGTACACAAATAAATAATATATATACAGAATACTGCAATATTCAATAAAAAATTAATTGTCCATTTTTATTTGAATTTTAAAGCAGAAAACATGATCTCTCTCTCTGTATGATATATATATGATCTCTATATATCTCTTTGAATACATGCTATGATGCTACCTCCCTGAAACAAGTGTAGTAGCAATGTTCGCAGGGTCTGTTCTTGTGTGCACAACGACTGAATTCGGACTGATTCACTGCATATCTGGTTGTCACAACCTCAATTATTCACTTTCACACATAAAATGGAATTTAAGTTAATTTGTGATAACACAAAATAAATAAATATAGAAACAGAGGGAAGACATTTCTTACATTTATTACAGCCACAGGATCAAGTAAAGCAGCGGCGAGCACGTATGACACAGATGCTGCAGTGGAAGTGTCAACATTATGAAAGTTACTCGGACCTCAGAATGGACAGTCATGAGAACAACACACAATGCTGACCGTTCCATTACAGATCACAAACACAGGAGAGAAAGACAGGACACAAAACTTGAGCTGCAGCCGGAGCTCCGTCAAATCAGACTGAACAAATAATGCCTGATGTCCGATTCACAGTCACATGGAGAAAAACAGACAGAAAACCATTAGACAAATGGACAATGCAAATGGAAGAGGAGAGGAAAAGGATGAGGAGGAGACGGAGAGAGGGCTTAGAGGGTAGTCATGTCGTTCAGAGCCAGATCCAGCTCCTCGCTGAGGGCTTTACCCTTCAGTTTCTGAGCGTACACCTCATCTGTACATCGTCCCAGAGGAGAACACAGACACACACGAGACGGACAGAACGAAACAAGCAGCAGAAAAAGACAAAATACCGTGAGATGAAGGACTATAAAGACCAATTTCAACTATCACAGATGTTTCACTGCAATGTCTGAACAAGCAATCAGTTTGAAATCTTGGTTAGAAAACCTTGGCACAAGCATAATTTTCAAGCTCACTAGGAGTCACTCTGAAATGAAACTCCATCCGCAAAATCCCATGATACATGCTCTCACGTGTCGTTCTTATTCAATCAACATCTAAGGTGTCAGAGTCACCTCACCAAAAACAGATGGCATGCAGTTTCAGTCCACCAAAAGACACTAGATCCATCTGCCAGAAATGCACACAACGCCTACGACATTTCAAGCAATGTTAGTATATGACAACAAGCTCTATCTGGTCAGGTGAAACAGTTTTTCCATTTTCCTATTAATCATTTCGGTTTACAAAACATGTGAGAGAAGTTATAATTAGAACGAGTAAGGCAGCAAAACTGCTAATACACACAAGTCCATTCCTGTTATTTTGTCATTAGCGCAGTCATTATTTACAGGCAGCAGAACAAATCTTGAAGATGTACCTTCTAAATCATCAATGGTCTTCTCAAGCTTCGCCACAGACCTCTCCGCAAACTCAGCACGCGTTTCAGCCTGAAGAAAAGAAAATCAACATATTTTCATGAACTTTCTCAATATAAAAATACACTAGGATTCTTTTTCCTAAAAGTTTGTCAAAACTTCAGAAATATTACATGAACAACAGCGCTATTGTACTTGGATACATGTTTAATGATGATCAATGAACTGATCAAATGGTTGGCAAAATGGTCTGAATTGGTTTGTGAATCAGTTGCCACAGACCTCTCCGCAAACTCAGCACGCGTTTCAGCCTGAAGAAAAGAAAATCAACATATTTTCATGAACTTTCTCAATATAAAAATACACTAGGATTCTTTTTCCTAAAAGTTTTGGTCAAAACTTCAGAAATATTACATGAACAACAGCGCTATTGTACTTGGGTACATGTTTAATGATGATCAATGAACTGATCAAATGGTTGGCAAAATGGTCTGAATTGGTTTGTGAATCAGTCTGAATTGTTTATTTTCTCACACTGAATTGTCTGAAGGGGTTTCACACTCAATGAAACTTTAGAACACAGAACATAAAGAGCGCTGGATGAAGTGACTGTGAACACATCACAATCAACTGAAACCAAACCTGCAAATGCATCCTATCTAAGATCTTTCTTTTTCTCTGAGATAAAGTTCAAAATCGCATGGATGTTGATTGGTGAGCCAGTGTCAAAACATTTACATTTAGTCATTTAGCAGATAAGCTTTTATCCAAAGCGACTTACAAATGAGGACAATAGAAGCAATCAAAATCAACAAAAGAGCAATGATATGCAAGTGCTATAACAAGTCTCAGGTAGCTTAACGCAGTACATGTAGGAAGGTTTTTTTTTTAAATTATATAATTAATAAAAAGAAAACGGATAGAATAGAAAAAGAATAGAGCAGGCTAGTGTTAGAGGCCTTTTTTTGCTTTTGTTAATTGTATTATAAATAAAAAGAAAACAAATAGATAGAATACATAAAGATTAGAGAAGCTATTGTTTTTTTTAAAGAAAACAAGCAGTTATTAAATGAATAGTGTGCAAGTCTAAAAGTTTTCTTTTTTTAAAGAATATAATTAGAATAGAGAGTGTTAGAGTTAGAGGGTCAAATAAACAGTCAATTCTTGAAGATGGCTAAGGACTCAGCTGCTGGGATTGAGTTGGGCAGGTCATTCCACCAGGAGGGAACATTTAATTTAAAAGTACTGGTGTCCCCCAGGGCTAAATTCTTGGACCTTTGCTTTTTAGCTTTTATATTTTTCCACTCTGTCAACTAATAAGATCTCTTAAACTTACCTACTATTTTTATGCTGATGACACCCATCCACTCAAAATCAGGTCAAGATGTGGACTTATTCCATCTATTAAATTGTATTTCGGAGATTAAGACATGGATGTCTAACAATTTTCTGTGTTTGAATCATTCTAAAACCGAAGTCATGCTTCTCGCTCTCCCCATCAACTGCATAATGCTGGTTCTTTAGCTCTGCCTGTTGATGGTGTTGCGCTGGAGCTACAAAGTACATAAAAAAAATCGTTGTTTTCTCACGTTTAGACTATTGGTAATGCTATTCTCATTGGAGTGTCTAAATCCTGCATAAACAAACTTCAGTATCTGCAAACTTTGGTAGCAAGAATTATGTCTGGGGCTAGGGTTGTTGAGCATGTAACCCCTGTGCCATCGCTGCATTGGCTCCCGGTAAGATTCTGTGTTGATTTAAAATCCTTATGTTAACATACAAGGTAATGCATAGTCTGCATGGGCTCCTCAGTACTTGGCCAAGCTTTTAACACCTTATACACCTAGACAAGGCCTTCTCATCTTATGCCCCCAAACTGTGGAATTCTCTCCTGGTTGACATCAGGGAAGCAAATTTGTTAGGTATTTTTAAATTTTGTCTTAAAACTTTTTACTTCAAGATTGCTTTTACTTGATTCATTTTGTTTTCAGTTTCTTGTTTATTTATTTCGTGTTATTCCAGGTTTCTTTTCTGTGTGTTGCTCTGTATTTTGTGTTTTCATTTTTATTGTTGTGCTCGCTTGTGTTGTAAAGTGCTTTGAGAAAGCAATTTTTAAAGGCACTATACTAAATAAATGTATTATTATTATTATATACAGTACAAATAATTAAGAAATAATTATGTAATATATATTTACTAAATATAATGTATAACGTTACGTATTGGGGTGAATATTTGCTGGTCGATTGACAAGCTTGTAATTACCATTGTGTATGGCATGATCACGTTTTACAGTTTACCACACATCACTGCAGTTTCCATGGTCAAGGCTGTTTAGCTTTAGCATGGAGCCTATATCATACGAGTGTATAACGTATGATGGTATCAAATTCAAATGGCCAAACAGCTCACCTTGTGTTTATAACTGGATAGAGAGGAGCAAACCCAGTTGTGCTGAATATTCACAAACTCACCTCTTTGAGTTTGTCAGTGAGTACTCTGATTTCTTCTTCATATTTGTCTTCCTTCGTGGAGTACTGGGGAATAAATCAAAAATGAATCATTGATGCTGCAGCTATCATTGTGTAAAGATAAACTGAAAAGCAAGGTCATTTTTTGCAATCTGTGCAATAATTATGCCTTTGAAGATAAAACAAAGGTTTTATTTACATACCATTCAATATTTGAGAACTCTTTACAGGCTAAATACTCACTACAGAATACTAAAATGCATCTGAAAATGTATTTTAAAATGCATATGAAATCAGAAGAACAACATTGCATAGCATTAGCAAGAGAAATGGCAGCGAAGTCAATGAAGACTGAGTATGAGAAAGCTATTTTACTCGACAAAGGGAACAATTTACTTTATTGGCTAAGCTCACCCTGTATAAAATGCTGCTTTAACAAGGGGAATCTTGTTTTTAAGCTTTGCTTAAAATTTGGATAAATGACATATGTTATACAATCATTTGTTGTACAAAGACCAAAATTACAACCACAATTACAGATTAGCCCTGTGAGAGTAAACATGGGCAGTCTGACTTGAAAGTGAACAGCAGGGCATTTGGACTTTTCACTGCAATAAACGCTATGAAGGCTCAGCCTACCTTCTCAGCCTGTGCCTCCAGGGACTTCAAATTGTTGGTGACATTTTTCAATTCTTCCTCTAGGTCACCAGATTTGCTGTACCACAGCAAGAGATGCAGGAAAAGAAAGGGCAAAGGAAAGGAGACAGAAAAGGCACCAGTTTTTAGCAAAAGAGACCTCAACCTGAATGGAACAATGAGGCCATTCCCTTTCATTTTGGCTGAATATTAGAACCATTCAAAGTTCCAAGCACATCAGGCACTTTAAATGCCTTTACATTTCATTCACAAAACAGTTTCCCTAGAAAAAAGTAGTAATGCAGAATATAACAGCACTTGAGAGGCCAAAATTCCTTGTCAAATGTTTATTATAAGATTTAAATCATGCAAACTGGCTACTTTAATTATAAAATAATAAAAATAAACTAAATAATAATAAAAATAATAAATAAAATGTTATTTCCAAGGTGCTTGTTACAAAACGGCAGTAATTAAAGTGTGGTATTCCCCAAGGTTCTAGTTGAGGCCCCTTTTTCTTTTGCAAAAGATGCATTTATCTGCACAGGGACAGAGTCAAGAAGAGCCGCACAGGAGGTCATAGATATCCGAAAGAGAGGACAGGTCAAGAGAAGCCAGCATTAGCATGCTACATCAGTCTCTCGGCAGTACCTCTTCCTCTCCGGCCATCATGGATTTCATATTCTGGTCCATGAGTCTAAGTTCCTCCTCCAGCTGCCTGACTCGACTGAGTTAGTCCAGAACATGCATATTAAACTCAGTTTTTCATGCAAATGTAATGCACTTTTGTTACCATTGCATATGCACACATATATATTCCACACATCGTTTCTGACAGTCAATACAATCAATACATTTTTCTAACACTGTATTCTGGCAAGGAATTTGATTAAGCAGTAATAACCAAATGCAGATTAAGCTTGTTCATGTTTTCATGATGTTAGTGCTAGTCTAAACTTTTAGCATTCAGGAATATGCTCCCAAATCACTGAAATTAAAGATATCAGTATGAAATATCAACAACAACAGAATACCCTGTTAACACACAAGGTTACTGATGTGATCATTTACTTATGGAATAATAATGCAATAAAGTTCAGTCTCAACTAAACTGTTTAACATGCATTAAATATACTTACGCCTCAGCCACTTCAGCTCGTTCCTCAGAGCGCTCAAGCTCACCCTCAAGAATCACCAGTTTACGTGCCACCTGCAGTCCAACAAGCACACAAACTCAATTTTACAATTACTATCAAATAACAAATATCACAGAGCTGTAAAGCCAAGTTATGAAGGAGGAAGTTAATCCCCAATAAACAATGCAGGAAATTCAGGTTTAGGTATAGTGACATCTTCCACACAACAACAACAAAAATATATTCACTCTGTGACCATTTGATCAACAAAGCAGCATGCTTGTTCTTCAGTAGAAATGCTTACATATCCTTAAATATCAATCAGACACATCAACAGAAATTGCCACCAACAGCCAATCAAAATTCAGCAGCTGATAAATTAATTTGTGCACGGCCGCTGGACATGAATATACATGCATCTACCAAATTTGCCAAAAAATGACCACGAAGAAACATTCTTAAATGAATAAATATGAAATATAAGAAAACATCAATAAATGATTTCTTCATTATTTTTAGCATCTGAATTCTGAGTGTTTCTGAATCTAGAAATAATAATGTTTTCCTTGTCTTCCACGCCCCCATTGTGAACTTTTTTGGAACTTTTATGCATGGCCATAATTCAATATACTGTGAAAAGCTTCTAGTTATAAGAAGCCTGATTTAAATGAATTCCAGTCATTTAATAACGTGAGGCTGGCTGACATCCACACCTCCTCATATTTGCGGTCAGCCTCCTCAGCGATGTGTTTGGCCTCCTTCAGCTGCATCTCCTGGATCTCCATCTTCTCCTCATCTTTTGATGCTCTGTTCTCTATCACCTTCATTCCTCTGTACGGAGAAACCACATGGTCAATATTACATTCAGAAGTGCCATGAACAGACAAACTCAGCACGTCTAAACACAACAGGTTTAAGGTATTTACTCATGACACCCTGGAAGGATGGCTGATCCTCTGTTTGAAAATCAGTTTGAAACTACCTAAAACTCTGGCCTTGAACAGGTATCAACAAAATACATTGTTTTGTTTTTATGATTTCAAAAAAACTAAATGGATGCGAGTCAAATAAATAAAAACTGCCCCGTGAACAAAGCCTAGATGTGTAGTTAAAGTGTGGAGTGATATATGTTGTTAAAGATGCTGCTGTCACACCTCTCGCTCTCATCCGCAGCTTTCTCGGCCTCCTCGAGCTTCTGTAGCGCAGTGGCGAGTCTCTCCTGGGCACGATCCAACTCCTCCTCTACCAGCTGGATGCGTCTGTTCAGGGACGCCACCTCAGCCTCGGCCTGCCATCACAGGAGAATCAGTCAATGCACACCAAGGCTGCATGCCATGGAGGAAAAAAAAATTGATTTGCGGTAACCTTGTTGGATAATGTGAAAGTGACATGCAATGTGAATATCTTGTGATTAATGTCCAATTAAGTGCAAAATTGCATCTAGAACATCAAGATAAACCAAGTTGACTCCAACTACAAATGATCTTTCTTCATATTGTGAAAAAAGGCATACATCTGAGATTTTACTGTTGCAACTAACAATTATTTGAATAATCAGAACATCTCTCAAATACATTTTATTTGCTGTATTTTTTTGAAAAAAATTGCTTTCATATCCTAACCAGTGTTCACTCAGAACAATGTGCAAATTGAAGGCTATAAAATGTATGCTTTGCAGAAATTATAACATTGGTAATTTAATCTAATATTGTGTAATAATATTATTGATAATGAAATTGTAATATTATAATATAACCTGCTCTCTTACACTGTCTGGTCAATGCACACACTCACTCTAGTATAAGTCTCATCTGTAAATTTAACAGTGACTCACTAGTTAGGAAAAGCTGAATTGCGAAATGTAACTAACATTTACAGATAAGAATATATTTTTTTAATTATAAAAATGGTCTTGTTAAATCTTTTTTAAAGGGGTCATATGATGCGATTTCAAGTGTTCCTTTCTCTTTGGAGTGTTACAAGCTCTTGGTGCATAAAGAAGATCTGTAAAGTTGCGAAGACTAAAGTCTCAAATCCAAAGAGATATTCTTTATAAAAGTTAAGAGTCAACCACGCCTTCCTAAAACGCCTCGTTCTAACACGCCCCCACATGTCTACCTCACTATGTGGAAATATTAGCATAATGCGCCCAAATGTTCACGCAAAGAAAGAAGGTGTGGTTTCAGTAACAGCAGTCGTGTTGAAGCAGCATGTCAGGGAGACGCTGTGTGTTTCAGTGCGAAAGCAAAAGCACCTTCTTTGGCCTTCCGGAAGTAGATGCATTTAGGAATCATTGGTTAAGATTTATTTACAACATAACAGTACGTCATCACTGTGTCTGTCACGCGACTCTGTTCCCCTTTCGGGCTTGAACTGATGGTAAAACTAACGACATTATTAACTGTCTTGATATTTACTTTGAAAGCTGAAGCTGCGATTATGGTAAGGGGCGTTACATTTCCGACGAGTGCTTGCGGTGTTCGGCCAATCACAATGCACTGGGTCAGCTGGCCAATCAGAGCAGACTGCGCTTGTCAATGGAGGAGGCTTTGTTGAAAACGTTAAACATTAAAGCATGTTAACATGTTCTGTTACACCAAATAATGATCTTTAAAATAGCATCATATGACCCCTTTAACATCCATCTTGCAACAAAAATATCCATTACACAGATAGAACAGTGCACGAAAAAACTGACAAAGTAAAATACTGTTTTCTATACCACTTTTCACCACAAAACTGTCCCCGAATCCACAGCGTGAAACATACAGTGTTGCGACTTTCCATTTCACCTATACATTTGATCAGTTCATGCTTCCCTGGCAATTGTTACGATTCCCATCCCAATTTTTTTATGGCTGGATAAAGCAGAAGTTCCCATCGGACACTCTCTCTGAATGCATTGCTGGCTTTAAGTTAAACTTTAAAAATGCAAAGTTCACAAGATAAAGAGCGTTGAGCTCACGATCAACTGTTTGTCCAATCCTTTAATAGCTAACTACAGGCTAGCAATGCTATTACTATGTCAACCCTTTGAATGTGGGAATATTTAATCAGGTCACCAAATACAGCATACAATGAACATGAATAAACGGATATTCGTCATTTTAAAGAAGATGTAGCATTTTACAGCCATTAACCAATATTTAAAAGTCTAAAGTCATCTTGGAGATCTTTTCAACAAAGGTTCATCTTCATAGTCTAGTAAAACGACAAGGCTCAGTACAGAGGTGGCCTAATTTGTTTGTGGGTTAAAGCAATGCCAGCTTTATAGCTATTTTCATGGCGAGGTTGAAATCCAGGATTAAATAGGCTATAAAAATAGCTAAAACAACTGAAAACCTCATATAAGATGTTTACGATCCATTTTAATAAGTGTGAGCAGAATAAAAGTCTTCACTAGAAATGTCACATTTTCACATCTGTAGTGTTTAACAGAGAGAGAGAGCTCTGGCAGAAAGCACATCCGGGGATCTTTGCATGGCGGCAAACACTTCTTGAGTAAATGACTTTATACATTGAAATACAAGCAATATATCTGCCACTTTAGTCCTGACCCGCTGAAAAAAAAAAATGCTTTAAAGTAAATCATGATTGCTCAGATCAGATAAAGTCTACTATTAAACTTTGGTTCAGAAATGGTGAATGTTTCCAACATCACTTTGTGTAACTAGCTGTAACTTTTGCGGAGGACTGTTATCCTCACTTTCTAAGCAATCTCTGATTACTTTCAGGTTACTCATTACTCAAGAAAAATGGTTTTAATGAAAGAACGCAGAGAAAAAGCCATCCTCCAAACCTAGAATAGTGAGTTATATTGCGCTGTCAGAACAGATTTTACAGGAAATCACATCCACACGTCATCGGAGCGTGTGTGGCGTGTGTTAGTAGAGTAAAGCTGAGAGTTTGTCATCACAACAAACAAGAAAAAACTGACCATGAATCCTTCAAAGCAGCACTCTTCCGGGAAATCACCGGTTGTTAAAAAAAGAGATTATTTGACTATTTCCTCCTGTATCCAGATGCACACCAGGACCTCAAACAGCATTCATCTGCACAGAGGAGAGCTGCAGCACAACCAATACAATGTTCTCCAGCAAGACCACTCCATTTATATATTCAGTCAGGTTAGACACCATACTGAACTGAACTTAACATCGTCAGACTTACAGTCTTTACAATGGCACGCACTCTAACTGTTTCGTGGTCTAGCTAAAGTTTTTTTTGGAAAGATGTTTTGTCAGCTGAACAATGTGTGTTGCTGTTAATCAACAGTACAATCTATCGAACGCACTTCTGTCACTCGCAGCCTCGTTTTTTATTCCTGTCAAATATGGCACAACCTTGACTAATACATAGTGCATCTTTAAACGTACTGCGTAAAAATGTACATAAGAAAACTAGTTTATGTTCTTGTTCAATTTTTAATCAAACAAATCTGTTAACATAAGGCACCTCACTCTGGGACTCGAGGGGTCGAGACAACACCAAATCTCCAAATCGATGTTGATCTTCATGTAAACTACCTTCACTTCTTACAGGTAGACAAGAAGACGACCCTGGCCTGGGCCGTGACGGGCTGATGGACTCCAGTGTCTACATTCAGGTGGACTACACCTGCTCAATCACCTGTACTTTTAACTGAGCACTGCATCACATATCCGCAGGACCTGTGAGAGAAAGAGTGTGACTGAAGAGTGAGAGATGCTGTGAGTCTCAATAAAACCCTGATCTGCTTCTCATGTCTTCTCATTAGCTCTCGCAGCCTGCTCTGGTGAGTAGTGTGCGCTTCTGCACGCTTTCACCTACACTGATACTGATATTTGGCTAATGTGTTTTTGAAGTTAACTTAATGTTTGGCTTTTATTTAAGAAACCAGAGCATCCCGAAGACAGAGCACTCGCTAGAAAACTGCAACACGTTTACAGACGCCAGCCATGAGGAACAGCAGGTTTACACTGAATAAGAGCCATTAATAAAGATGCTGTAGTCAAAGGGGCCTTCCAGATGGCCCGAGAGGCCCCTCTCTTACCAGCCTGGTTTATAAAGGGACATCGGTATTGCAGGGTACGGGATGTTTTTGAAGTTAACACGTGAACAGACAGATCAAACATGGCTGTGAGGCCAGACTCCGCATCCAGGCTGAATATGAGGGCCACTCACTGTCTCCCGGGCCTGCCGCTCCAGGTCCACCTCCCTCTGCAGCGCTGCGGCTCGCTCCTCCGCATCGTCCGCCTGCTGCTGCAGGCTCTGGATCTTCCTCTTCACGGCTTCGATGGAGGTTATCGATGCCATTATTCCCGCTGAACTCCCGAGTCTGCTGTTAACGTTAAACGCGACGCTAACGCTATATCCAGTGACCCTGCCTTTATCAGACACCGGTCCTGCCAGTTTCTTCCTCTAATGTTTTTATCCAGAAGTCCTAGTTTAGCGTGAATCGCCGACAAACGCGCTGTTCACACCGAGGGCGAAACAAACCTCCGTCGGGCTGAATACAGCTCACCTTCGCCGGAACAACAGATGGCGCCGCACACCTCTCAGGTGAGCCGTGTTCGGCGGCCAGGAGCACAGGAGCAGCTCGTTCAGCACTCAGCAGAGCAGTTTCCCGCATAATGAAGGGTTTATGGTTTACTTGGCACGAGGCGGGGCCCCAGGTGAGCTCAAAGCAGTGTTGCCAGGTCCGCGGTTTCCCCGCGGTATTGGGCTACTGTTGCCGCGGGTTGTTTTTCATGGTTGATGGGGTTGAAGCGACCCCAATCACGTGATATTTACCCCTGGAATACGAATTCTACCAGGGGAACCCCCGCAAAAGCCGTGCATTTTACCCCCCGGAACACGATTTGCTCCTGTGGAACTCCCCGAAACGCAATTGGGCGGGTTTTGTTGTGAAAACCTGGCAACCCTGTCTACTGGCGTGAAATAATGCTGCGTTCAAGTCCTCCTGGGACAGTCGTTTCAAGTCAGTTTAGTCGGCACAAGATGGCGGTGTACCTTCTGTTAATAAATTACAAAAAAATACAACAGGGTCTGTTAACTCTGCTCATTTACCAGTGATTTTGTTAATTTAACAATAATAATAATAATGTGTACAATATGCACTGAATTGGACGAATAACCTTTGTTAGGGAGTAATTGTGTAGGATATAACTATTTTCCTGCTCATCTGGACACGCAAATGTTGCAAGACAGAATTAATCCATCACACAGTGCATTCAAACAGGGCTGTGTCTCCCAAAAGTATCATAAGAAAGCATTAAAGCTTTTGGGAACGGCAGCCCTGAACAACTCTTATCAGAGGACAGAAGGACAGAGTTATTTCACAATAAACAAACTGAAATTGTAGCCTACATAGTTTGTGCAATTACAGTTATTTAAATTGAACGTTGAAAGATAATATTGATCATGTTCTATTCTGTAATGTTAATAGAAATCATACACTGTCAGAATAAAAACGTTGCATTTTATGCATGCAACAGCCGGTCACTGGCAGTCCCTTATGAAAATGAACCATGGTTTTACTAAAGTGACCGTAGTTCAACTGTATTTGTAGATTTGAACCATGTGTAAACAAATATAGCCTAATAAGTTACAATTAAGGCGTATTGAATGTTAAAATGCGTTTTAAACAAAGTTAAGTGCTTATCATTACCCATTTTACTCTTAGTAATTTAAGTTCATCTTCATAGTCTAGTAAAACGACAAGGCTCAGTACAGAGGTGGCCTAATTTGTTTGTGGGTTAAAGCAATGCCAGCTTTATAGCTATTTTCATGGCGAGGTTGAAATCCAGGATTAAATAGGCTATAAAAATAGCTAAAACAACTGAAAACCTCATATAAGATGTTTACGATCCATTTTAATAAGTGTGAGCAGAATAAAAGTCTTCACTAGAAATGTCACATTTTCACATCTGTAGTGTTTAACAGAGAGAGAGCGCTGGCAGAAAGCACATCCGGGGATCTTTGCATGGCGGCAAACACTTCTTGAGTAAATGACTTTATACATTGAAATACAAGCAATATATCTGCCACTTTAGTCCTGACCCGCTGAAAAAAAAAAATGCTTTAAAGTAAATCATGATTGCTCAGATCAGATAAAGTCTACTATTAAACTTTGGTTCAGAAATGGTGAATGTTTCCAACATCACTTTGTGTAACTAGCTGTAACTTTTGCGGAGGACTGTTATCCTCACTTTCTAAGCAATCTCTGATTACTTTCAGGTTACTCATTACTCAAGAAAAATGGTTTTAATGAAAGAACGCAGAGAAAAAGCCATCCTCCAAACCTAGAATAGTGAGTTATATTGCGCTGTCAGAACAGATTTTACAGGAAATCACATCCACACGTCATCGGAGCGTGTGTGGCGTGTGTTAGTAGAGTAAAGCTGAGAGTTTGTCATCACAACAAACAAGAAAAAACTGACCATGAATCCTTCAAAGCAGCACTCTTCCGGGAAATCACCGGTTGTTAAAAAAAGAGATTATTTGACTATTTCCTCCTGTATCCAGATGCACACCAGGACCTCAAACAGCATTCATCTGCACAGAGGAGAGCTGCAGCACAACCAATACAATGTTCTCCAGCAAGACCACTCCATTTATATATTCAGTCAGGTTAGACACCATACTGAACTGAACTTAACATCGTCAGACTTACAGTCTTTACAATGGCACGCACTCTAACTGTTTCGTGGTCTAGCTAAAGTTTTTTTTGGAAAGATGTTTTGTCAGCTGAACAATGTGTGTTGCTGTTAATCAACAGTACAATCTATCGAACGCACTTCTGTCACTCGCAGCCTCGTTTTTTATTCCTGTCAAATATGGCACAACCTTGACTAATACATAGTGCATCTTTAAACGTACTGCGTAAAAATGTACATAAGAAAACTAGTTTATGTTCTTGTTCAATTTTTAATCAAACAAATCTGTTAACATAAGGCACCTCACTCTGGGACTCGAGGGGTCGAGACAACATCAAATCTCCAAATCGATGTTGATCTTCATGTAAACTACCTTCACATCTTACAGGTAGACAAGAAGACGACCCTGGCCTGGGCCGTGACGGGCTGATGGACTCCAGTGTCTACATTCAGGTGGACTACACCTGCTCAATCACCTGTACTTTTAACTGAGCACTGCATCACATATCCGCAGGACCTGTGAGAGAAAGAGTGTGACTGAAGAGTGAGAGATGCTGTGAGTCTCAATAAAACCCTGATTTGCTTCTCATGTCTTCTCATTGGCTCTCGCAGCCTGCTCTGGTGAGTAGTGTGCGCTTCTGCACGCTTTCACCTAAACTGAGACTGATATTTGGCTAATGTGTTTTTGAAGTTAACTTAATGTTTGGCTTTTATTTAAGAAACCAGAGCATCCCGAAGACAGAGCACTCGCTAGAAAACTGCAACACGTTTACAGACGCCAGCCATGAGGAACAGCAGGTTTACACTGAATAAGAGCCATTAATAAAGATGCTGTAGTCAAAGGGGCCTTCCAGATGGCCCGAGAGGCCCCTCTCTTACCAGCCTGGTTTATAAAGGGACATCGGTATTGCAGGGTACGGGATGTTTTTGAAGTTAACACGTGAACAGACAGATCAAACATGGCTGTGAGGCCAGACTCCGCATCCAGGCTGAATATGAGGGCCACTCACTGTCTCCCGGGCCTGCCGCTCCAGGTCCACCTCCCTCTGCAGCGCTGCGGCTCGCTCCTCCGCATCGTCCGCCTGCTGCTGCAGGCTCTGGATCTTCCTCTTCACGGCTTCGATGGAGGTTATCGATGCCATTATTCCCGCTGAACTCCCGAGTCTGCTGTTAACGTTAAACGCGACGCTAACGCTATATCCAGTGACCCTGCCTTTATCAGACACCGGTCCTGCCAGTTTCTTCCTCTAATGTTTTTATCCAGAAGTCCTAGTTTAGCGTGAATCGCCGACAAACGCGCTGTTCACACCGAGGGCGAAACAAACCTCCGTCGGGCTGAATACAGCTCACCTTCGCCGGAACAACAGATGGCGCCGCACACCTCTCAGGTGAGCCGTGTTCGGCGGCCAGGAGCACAGGAGCAGCTCGTTCAGCACTCAGCAGAGCAGTTTCCCGCATAATGAAGGGTTTATGGTTTACTTGGCACGAGGCGGGGCCCCAGGTGAGCTCAAAGCAGTGTTGCCAGGTCCGCGGTTTCCCCGCGGTATTGGGCTACTGTTGCCGCGGGTTGTTTTTCATGGTTGATGGGGTTGAAGCGACCCCAATCACGTGATATTTACCCCTGGAATACGAATTCTACCAGGGGAACCCCCGCAAAAGCCGTGCATTTTACCCCCCGGAACACGATTTGCTCCTGTGGAACTCCCCGAAACGCAATTGGGCGGGTTTTGTTGTGAAAACCTGGCAACCCTGTCTACTGGCGTGAAATAATGCTGCGTTCAAGTCCTCCTGGGACAGTCGTTTCAAGTCAGTTTAGTCGGCACAAGATGGCGGTGTACCTTCTGTTAATAAATTACAAAAAAATACAACAGGGTCTGTTAACTCTGCTCATTTACCAGTGATTTTGTTAATTTAACAATAATAATAATAATGTGTACAATATGCACTGAATTGGACGAATAACCTTTGTTAGGGAGTAATTGTGTAGGATATAACTATTTTCCTGCTCATCTGGACACGCAAATGTTGCAAGACAGAATTAATCCATCACACAGTGCATTCAAACAGGGCTGTGTCTCCCAAAAGTATCATAAGAAAGCATTAAAGCTTTTGGGAACGGCAGCCCTGAACAACTCTTATCAGAGGACAGAAGGACAGAGTTATTTCACAATAAACAAACTGAAATTGTAGCCTACATAGTTTGTGCAATTACAGTTATTTAAATTGAACGTTGAAAGATAATATTGATCATGTTCTATTCTGTAATGTTAATAGAAATCATACACTGTCAGAATAAAAACGTTGCATTTTATGCATGCAACAGCCGGTCACTGGCAGTCCCTTATGAAAATGAACCATGGTTTTACTAAAGTGACCGTAGTTCAACTGTATTTGTAGATTTGAACCATGTGTAAACAAATATAGCCTAATAAGTTACAATTAAGGCGTATTGAATGTTAAAATGCGTTTTAAACAAAGTTAAGTGCTTATCATTACCCATTTTACTCTTAGTAATTTAATACATTTCATAATTTAAAGGTTTAGTTCAGAAGTATCGAATCGGTAACGATATCGACGATACTGCCTTGAAAAATATCGGTATCGTATCGAAAAGAAAATAAGTGGTATCACCCATCCCTACCGTCAACTACAGACGTTGCCGTCTGTAACAATCCATCGATTCCGCCATGTTTCTCATTGACACGCCCCCAACTCGGAAACTCGGGGCTTAAAGAAAATGTGGAGTTTCCCACTGGTAATAACGACTTTGTGGCGGCGTTCATGTGCGTTCAACTCGTAAATACGATCTATCCGACATGACTTGAACGCACCATTAGTCTCAAAACACCTGACGCACACTTTCATGAAAATGTCTTCATTCATTAAATCTTTTTAAATGGCCTAAAGCCTGGCATATTAAATAATAGTCCGATTTTTTTTAATGCTTGAAAAAGAAAAATTCTAAACGTTTT